TTACTCCATCGAAGCGTGAAACACGGCTGTCCTAGATTCTCTTCAGTGAAAAGAAGTACTTTAATGTATAATTCAGAATCTCTTGCTTAAGTTCTTGCAGACACTGAGCACCCCAAACCCAAACGCAGTCAAGGATGAGCTGTTATTTTGAGAACTACCAGCTGAAACTCCAAATGGATGTCCTAGCATAAAATAATGCAACCGTCCTGAGTTCCTCCACCAGCAGGCTGTAATCTTGGCACATCCCATCAGTTCTAAGTGGATGTCTTCAACCAGAAATAAGCCATGATATATCTCAAAAAGCCTTCTGTATCTGCCAGCTCAAAGATACCTGATTGCAACTGAATTGGGGGAAAAAAATCAACTCTTTCACTAGTATTAAAATATCACTTTGGAAAACTGTCCAGAGCTGAAATATTTCTGTTTGTGTCAGTGATGTATTTAATTTGTACAAAATATGCCATTTTATCTCATTTTGTTCCATGTTCTAGAACTTGAATGGCTAGTGCCAAGCAGCAGACCCTTACCACTTCTATCTGCAGCTCCTCCACGCATTATCCTGGCCACCACGATTGCACCAGTATGTTCATCCCTTTTAATAGTAGCTCCCTTGAGTAAAAAAAAGACAAAAAAACAAGTTATTTGGTTAATCTCGCCATAATTTTAATACACTACACTAAAAAACACTTGCTATGTAAAAGTGCAGAAGAGTTGACATTGTATTCATAGGTGAATAAGCCAGAAATGATTCTTGCTCATGAAAAGAATATACAAAACATGCTGCTCTATTACTATCCTCTTAAAATGTGTCTTCCACTCAGAAGTAACTCATGCATTCTGTATGTACACAGCTTTCTAAAAACAGGACAAATGATAGAAGAAGTTTGGTTTTCAACTTAATATTCACTGCAGTGTACCTTACTTGAATCTGCTAAAACTGTACAAAACTATTGCTGAAGATTGAGAAATTGTTCCTCTATTCAAACAGGCCATGCTACAGACTATGGGTGCAAAAAGTCCATCTGTGTTTGTAATGTGAGTACTTCATGCTCAGAACTGGCCGTGCACCCACTGAGGATCATTTTACAGTGTTATCAATAAATAAACATGAATTTGAGAAATGCTCCTGCATATGAGGGCTCACCTGGAACACTCCCAGGAGAGAAATGCAGAGGAGGGGAACATTTCCTGAGTGAGTCATGACTGTTTTCATACATGACACATACACAGCACAAGGCATTGAGGTAAAATGACATTGTGTAGTTCAATTTTCACTGAACAGCTGTCTGGAGGAGAAAAATGCCTTTGTAACTGAACTTGGAACGGTGAGGCTGCACTGAAAAGAGGCAGGAGGTGATGGGGAAGCAGCAGCAGTGACAGATGAGAAAGGAATGGATGTGGAGGAGCAGAGCCACTGCCTCAGCTGTGGTGCCAGTTCTTCCAGGAGGATGGGGAGGAGTGAGGGAGGAAATGCTGGTCATGCTCTGGGACACAGCATCCATAAAACAACCAGAGAGATTTTAACTAGATAAGTCATACTGCATTATCACCTCTTAAAAGCTTATATGATCCAGCATTTTAAAAAAATAACAGACAAAAAAGCACATCTTGGCCAACAGATTTTTACCTGCACATGGTTACTCGCCCATATTAGTATCATTAGTTTCCTGCAATAGCTCAAAGTTTGCTAATCAACAGAGATGTTTAGGACTCTGGCAGTAAAATCGAATTTTTGAAAATTTCCATATTTGTGCTTAGTGAATAAACAGTATTACTTCACCTCTGAGTGCTACATGCACTCTGCCATCACTGGTTAGAAATTCCTTCCATCAGAGAGGTGTTGTGCTTGAAGGAAGGCACATAAGTACTTTATAAAGAAGTCCCTTGAATAATTTAATTGCTTTTATAGCTACCTTTCTCTATTTGTTTAAACATGAACATTGTGTTTATCACTGCTTCGATTTTTAAGTGTTTCATGAACATAATGCTGAAAAATGTACAAATGAGTAATAGGGTTGGCATATTTCTACAGTTAAGAGTTTTGCTGTAAATAAACTTGTTTCCTTTTCCTTCTACCTCAAAGATGGAAATACAGCACAAGTCATGAAGATGAAAACCAGGAGATGAATTTATATTTTTATATGCAAGTCGCAGTTATTGCAAATAGAGAAAAATTAAAACAGTCACCACACAATATTCTCTCTGGCTGAAAATTTAACAGTAGCCAGCACTCCACAGCAAAACTATGTGCTATGTTTGTGCATTTTATTATACATCTTAAATTTATTAGTATGAAATTCTACCCAGAATCAAAGTAATTCTGCAATTTGCCAGCCTTGTTCTTGTTATGCAATTGTATCAGTAAGCATTTGCTTGCATTACAGTTTCAAGTTAGTCTAAGAGTTTCAAAAACATAGATATAGCTAATCTCATAGTAAAAACTCACAATTAGACTTCTATGCCAAAAGAATTGCATACCACTAGGAATATATTCAACTAAGCACTAAACCCTCTAGTTTACATCTCAGTATTAAGTTCTAACCTTGCAGCAACAACTACTAATTTGAAGTCCATTAGTAATATCTGCAATGTTCTATCTGTTTAAAAGTAAAAAGCTTTTTTTTTTCTGACTATATCTGGCAAAAAAAATTAAAAAAAAAAAGGATTAGCGCTAGCTAATTAATTAATTAGCATGAGGATGCTAGAGGCAAATATAAATACTTGACATTTCCACTACATTGTCTGAAACAGAGGCTCTCCTAATTAATCAGGAAAAAACCCTTGATCAGATAGGTTTTGTGCCTTTTACCTAGAAGTGAACACTATTAAATGTCACCAAATGCAAAAGGCAAGTGATGCCTAACAGCCTCCCAGTGTGACCACCCAGCCACCCCAGTACAGTGTTGGTGTCTCAAAAGTGGCATTTCACTTTGCTGAGCTTTTTACACAGACCCTAAAAAAACCCTGTGTGCAGTCAGAGACCACACTACTGACCCAGACAGCATCTGGAAGTAACAACAAGGCTCTTGTCCAAGTGGAACAGTCACTTCATGCTCTATGGGATTATCACTACTGGCACAAAATGAATTTTCCTAGCACAGTTTAACCCATCTGAAAGATGGCCCAGGGAAGATAACAGGTAACTTGGAAATTTCAAAAAAAAAAGCATTAAATCAAGGTCAAAATTACAGGGAAATTATTTAACCCAAGTTTGCTCACTGTCAGTAAGTCCTCTATGGCAAATGCAAAGTCCACAGTCCACAAAAAACACTAATTGACTTTATGTATTTTGCTGTACCTACAGCACCCAAATTAAAAAGGGGGTTCCTTTAATTCCACTGCCCTCCCAATTTAGAGCTCTCATCAAACACAAGTGGATTTCTTTTTGAAAACCTGAAGAGTTGCTTTTCTGAAAAAGCAGCTTCTCTTGTACTGCTGCCAGCCCTGCTTAAACTATGAGGTATATATAATCTGGCAAGAAATTCTCCTTATAAGATGTTCAGCTCCACTACTTTCAGTTACATGTGCAGTGCAGCTCCTCATTTAGAGCTTTAAAAATGGAAGAAGGTTAGACTGGACCTTGAGAGCTGGAAAAGATTTTCAGTGTTGTGAGCCAAAAGTGTAAGTTACCTTAAATGAGACATATACAGATGTAATAGCATAGCTCAGTTTAAAATACTTCTGAAGGGAAAAATAAGGAGTTTGGGAGCCATATGGTGATCAGACTGAGAAAATGCTTAAAAGGTATACCATGCAAAAGCACTAAAAATAATACAAGCTCCTTCAGCAAGGCTCTTTCACTGTTGTTTGGTTGCCCTTTTATTTTTTCATTTTTAATGTAGTACCACTGACTGGTAAGCACTGCACAGTTTCACAGATGTGAGCTTTATTAGTCCATCCATTTATCTGCTGGTTCCAGAATATAAACACTGCAAGTCCTTATTTTTAAAGAAAGACTAGCCAGTCTTATTATCAATAATTTTAAATACTAGTAAGATTTTTGCATGCCTTTCTGTTAAACAAAAGCACGTGCAGATGTCGAATTCAAATAAGTACTTCAATAAGCCTTATTTGAATTTATTATATACAAATTATATGTATTAAATAAAAGCATCACTTATCTACCTTAGAGTGAGAAGTAATTTAAAAGTTGATGCCTGCTTACTGGTAGACTATGTACACTAAAGCTGACTCTACACCCAAATTAATCCTACTTAAAAAAACAGTTGGGTTTATCCACTAATGAGAACTGACCAACAGGGACTAAGAGTGAGAGGTGAGTGAAAGCTGTAGAATCTGCACAGGCAGAACATGTAAGTGACTTTTTAACACCACCACAATCCATTTTGCCCTAGTTCAGCTATGGAAATCAGGTATCTAGTTCAAGCTAGGTGTCCAGGCTACTCCTATAGTTTATGAAAATAAATAGGCAGCTGTGGAAAATGAATTATCCTTTCATTAAGCCAGGCATCTTAAAGAGATAGCATAGGTCATTCTCTGGAGTTCCCTATTTTTCTCTTGACTATAGACACAGCAGAGAGGTCAGATTGCAAATGGGTAGATTATGAATCTGTGTGATGAAGAAACAACTGTCTTAATGTGAAGAAGCATCCTATGGAGAGTAACAGCTGTAATAACCCTGGAGTCTAATTTGGGAGCTAGAAGTAGTGAGAGGCCAGGTATTGAACTCCTGGTAGTGTGGTTGTACATCTTGGATATCAGGAATGCTAACCAGGAACAGCTCTGTGGCTGAAAAACCCTTGGAGAGGTAGGCATAAGTAAAAACTCTCTAAGCTATCTGATGAAAAGCCTAATTATAGCCAGGTGAATTTTGGACTGTCTCTGAAAATAGATGTTTCTCTTTATGTAAGGTTCAGAGATGCTCCAAATTTCTAACACAATTTCACTATCTTGGATATCAGGAATGCTAACCAGGAACAGCTCTGTGGCTGAAAAACCCTTGGAGAGGTAGGCATAAGTAAAAACTCTCTAAGCTATCTGATGAAAAGCCTAATTATAGCCAGGTGAATTTTGGACTGTCTCTGAAAATAGATGTTTCTCTTTATGTAAGGTTCAGAGATGCTCCAAATTTCTAACACAATTTCACTTCGCTTGGGTAAGGTTCAGAGATGCTCCAAATTTCTATGTTAAAATCAAACCTAACACAATTTCACCTCGCTTGGGGAGACGATGCTAGAACAGCATTTGCTAATAGAGCATTAAAATAAACAAATGCCAAACTGTGGAAGGATTAACAAAAAAGTTTAAAACATCTCTTCCAAAAAACTGGGGGAAAGTTCAGCACTGACTACTGAACGGATGAAATCTGGCAAACAGAAGGTCCTCCCACAAACCATGTGTTTCCCTCTCTTTTGAAATCATTACTCCTGGAAATCAGGCTTCATTAATATTTGATTAACACTGGCTCAGAACACCACTGAGGTGCTTCTCTCAGAGAAAAGCACAAACTGGTATAAGAGGAAATGTGGTGCAGTTTTATATAAAACTGGTCACTAAATACATTCCAAAGAAGTTAAGAGACTGCCTAGTTTGCTTCACAGTGAGTACTGATGCAAATCATCCAAAGGAAAGGCAATTTATAACATCCAGGGTGTGCAACTGATGGAAAGCTTAGTGCTTTGCAGAAAAACAATCTCTACTGCTTGGGTACAAATAGAATATCAGACTGTGTCTGAGGGGAAAGAAAAGTTCAAAGAGCACAGTAATTTCAAGTCAAGAAACCAGACAATCTCTACGCCACCAAAAATATTGCATGGTACCTCTGATCTCAAGCTCAGTTGCTTTTTGTAGTAGAATCCTGCTATAATGATGCAAGTGGAAGTCAGGTTTTTTGGCTGGAGAATAGTTAATAGATAAACTGAACAAGTAGAGACTCAGATCTGTACCAAGAATATCCAAGACCAGAACAAGTTCTGAAGGAAAAGCCATTAAAAAGACACAGAAATATCTAGAAAATGACATTGTAATTAGTTTAGTAAACACAGATCATGGCATATCCTTTCTTCAGTAAAGTAACTTTGGGAGGCATAGTTGCAGTAGACCTAATGCACCTAGTATAAATGTGCCTTTATTCCACCATGCTATATTTTGGTAAGACTTTATCTGAATTACTATTCATGTTTCTTCTCACCCTCACCTAAAGGAAAAAAAAAATCTAGAGAAGACCAAGACACAAATAATAGGTTTATATTGTATTGTCGTGGTTGTGTCATAAAGAGTCACTATAAATCTGCCACAAAGAAGTTAACATTTGACATGAATGTGAGTAATGTTAAAATAGACTGGAGGTGGTTATGGAAGAGGAGGAGGACACTATACACTATCCTTTAAACTCTTCCTGCAGACCAAGTAACAGGACTCTCCATAAATTCTTCTTGAAACAGAAGTAAAACATCAAGATAGGCTGGGAATATGCAAAGTTCACAAATATACCTTTCCCATACAGATAAGATACAATCCTAGAAATGCTGATTAAAGGACAACTTTTGGAAGTCATTCAGGCCAATCTCCTGCTCAGGGCAAGACTACTGTCAATGCCAGACCAGGTTAGCCATGGTATAGGTTGGAGAGTATCCACTTAGTCTGCTCCAGTGTTGAAGTTCCCACCTAATAAAATACTTCTGTTAACTCTTAGTCTAAACCTCCCAGCACTGCAACTTGTGGCCACTGCTTTGTGTTTTAACATCTTTCACTGCTGAGGAGCTTGACTTTACTGGGCTTGTGAGCTCCACATTTTCAAGCAGTTGAAGGCTGCAAATAGGTCCTACTCTTTGCCTTCTCCTAGTAACAGGTCTATGACAGACTCCATTATAAGGCTGGTTTTGCCTTGGTGAATAAACTCAGCAGTCTTAAACTGAAAAAAATCAGTCCTCTCACATTTTTGGTATTTTTCATTGTATCTATTAAAAGATCTAAAAAACCCTCTCTGTTAACTCATTAGCACAAGAGTTGTGCTAAATGTGGATCCACCTTTAAGAGATTGTAGGGTTACCTTTCTCCATGGTAGCTCATATGTTTGAGGTTTGTGCTGAAAACAGTGCTGGTAACACAGGGATGATCTAGCTATTGTTGAGCAATGCTTTCACAGCACCAAGGCCTTTTCTGCTCCTCACCCCACCACTGAGGAGGCTGGGGGTGCACGAGGAGTTGGGAGGGGATAGTCTGACCCCACCTGATCAGAGGGATATCCTACACCATATGTTGTCATGCTTAGCCATAAAACTGGGGGAAGAAAGAGGAAGGGGGGATGTTTAGAGTAATGGTGTTTGGTCTTCCCAACAAACAGTTACAGGTGATGGAGTCCTGCTGTCCCAGGGATGGCTGAACACCTGTCTGCCCATGGGAAGTGATGAATGAATTCCTTATTTTGTTTGCACATGCAGCTTTTGCTTTACCTATTAAACTGTCTACCTCAACCCACGAGTTTTCTCATGTTCAATTCTCTCCCCCATCCCACTGGGGAAAGTGAGTGAGTGGCTGTGTGGGGCTAAATACACAAGTATCTGGAAGAGCTCAGTGTCCCACTGGAGTGAATGGGTAAGAATGGAATTTGAGGAACAGTCCAAGGATAACCTTTGGCTTAGGCAACTCAATTCGTACTTTAAGAGGGCTTAAAATCTCAAATGCCAATATAGAGTGTATATATCTCATATAGGTTTCCAGAAATTCTCTCGATTTTGTTTTAGAAGTTACTATTATCCAATCCATTTTGAGATACTATTAACTCACAGTATTTAACTCAAAAGCCTTAGTAACAAATCATGTTTGCAACGTGAAACTACGTAAATTAAGATTTTATTAAGCTTTTCCTGACAAATTCAAAACAAAAAACGAGGGTGTTTTCATTAGCACTAAAAATAAGCTGCTCAATTAGACCCCATTTCATACTATATGTTCAAATTTCCACACACTTTTCAGAATTAATAATATTTCTGATATTAAATCCTAAAGCAAGTTTGTTGTCATCCTCCAAGAATTTCTTTGATGAAAAAAATTAAAAGCTTAAAGCTCTGATTTAAATATTTGGGGAACAAACATTTAGTATGTTAAAACCAAGTAAAAACTTTCCATATGGTCAAACTTGTAATCAACAGTCAATCAATATGAAAACTCATTTCTTGTTTATTGATGCCAGAAATCCATCAAGAATCAGAGTGATAGTAAGATCCCTACTGTGGGATAAGCTACCCCTGTATGTCTAGCAGAGCCATTGCTGTCCCACTGTCGTCTCAACTACAAAATGATGACTTTCTCCAAGTAACTTTGCAGATATTTCTCCAGTATTGCTATCCATTAAAACAAATATCCAGTATAACATAAAACAAAGCTCTTACTGGTTTACAGGAGAAAAAGAATATAGTTCAATTTTATACAAGATGACTCCCACTCTACAGCAAATAAAAATAACCAAATCAGTAAAGCATTTTAATATTCTTGTAATACAACCTAGCTTTAGTCCTTTCATTTTTCCAGACATCCCCATGAAGATATTAACTTTCTAGTATTCATAATGCAAAGTACAACAACAGACATCTTAAATTTGCCCAGATTTCAATTCAAGCATTTTAAAATATGTTTTTATGCTTTCTTTTCAGTGTATTGAAAGGTCACATTTTTTTACACGAATGCTAACAGGCACAGTTCACAACACAGGTCAGGATTTCTTTGGGGATTCATTCTCCATCTCTCATTGTAAAACAAATTCATGATTCAAATTCAAGATAAGAGATTAATATATTATTGACCTCAATGCTCAGACTGGCCCACAGATATAATGCTTAAACATGGTGAATGGACAAAATCTTACTACTCATTGCAAATGCTTTACTAATAATGACTGGGAATGGAAGTCCCAAGAGTATTACTCATTGTTATGAACAATCACAGGTAATGTCTGTCTATCCCCATTTCAAGTTAATGTCACCCATTCATGCTCATAACCCACCCTGCACACAAACACAAAGCCCCACACCAAAAGACAGAGGCACTTACCAATGGCTCCCGGTTTTTAACGAGCCTAATGATTTTCACAGAATCTTCTTCCTCATCAATATCATCAGGCATGGGGGGCAAGACAGGATCATAGTTCTTCTGAGCAACAGTATCATGTACAGAGAGCAAAGCCTGGAAACATGAATAGTTAGTATATTATTTGGCATCTGGATAGTTTAGGGAGGGCAAAACAGAGGATAGTATTTATAGCCTGACTGTACTAGCATGATGCATGTAGACTGAATGTAGTTCTTGGATACAAGTTTAACACACTTCCAACTGATGAAACAACTCCATAAAGTATATGTTTTCATTGTGGATACACAACAGTGTCTTCATGTACACAAAATTACTGAGTGCTTTGCATATTAGCTTGATATGCTAAGAATTATGAAAACAAAAAAACATTGTCTCCAAAGGTAAGAAAATTATTTTACTTGTCCTGGATAAAAAGCTTCTTTGATACTGTAGGTAGTCCTATGAAACAAATAAACAAAATAAGCTTCTTTCAGGAGTTCTGCTCAAGCACGAGATGCATGACATGAAGCTGTTGCCCAACCATTCCCTTGACAGGAGCTCTGGAAGCTTACCTGGTTACCAGATCCCTTTCATACTAGCTTCCTTTCATATGAACCTCAAATAATCTTAGGAATTTTTAATTTATTATGGAATTCATGACTGAGACTGAGAAAGACACTACTGAAATGATTTGCTTTAGGCAGGTGCTTATCAGACACCTGTTGCATGTCTGCCTCCTTTCTTTCTCTGTTGCTTCTCCAGTTCACTCATAGCTTGAACAACAGATTTTTCAAAATTCGCAGCTTTTTCTAGATATAGAACTCTTAAAGTTCTTTCTGTTTTGAAAAGTCTTCATTATTTGTAATACCTTTTAAATTGGTGGAAAATGGTTAAGTAATGCTTTTACTTTTGTAGAGAAAACTGTGCATTGTACCAGACATAATGGCAACAGTCACATATATAATTCTACCTCCTGCTTTCAGTTGCTTCTGTTTTCAAGTAGTTGCCTCTAAATACTTGAATATTTTTTCCCAGGAGTTAATATTACAAAAGTAGTAGCTTGATCAGCAGAAGTAATTTGCAAATTGATAAGATGATATTTGACTGAGTACATGAATGACTAGAAACTGTATGTTCTCAAGGATAATGCAAATGTTCTAAAAAAGCATGACACTTGCATTCTGGTATTCCAAGATTTGTTTCTGCATCTGTAACAACAGAAAACAATTTCCAGGCAATGCTACAAGCTATGATGTAAAAAGCATGGCAAAGCACATATGGTAATCTTGAAAATCTGAAGTTTAAAGTTAGGTCTTGTACCAGAGGGAGATCTTGCCTGCTTCATGATAAATTGCTATTGTTTTACTAATTTTTATGCATATTGTATAATTTGACAAAAACACTTCAAGACACTAATTATTTCTGGCTTTACTCCCAATACACAGTTATGAATTTGTGCTACTTACCATCAGAAATTACCATCTCCCTCCAACCAAAGATTAGTTTAACTTTAGATCTGAGCTAAAAACCTCAGGCTAGCAATAATGGATCCTCCTGGAAATGTTTACTGGGAATAATTACCTATATAAAAGCCATGCAATCACATGCAGTCCTCTTATGTATGTGAAATATCAAAGATACACTAAAACAAAAGCAGTGCTTGCTTTTACTTCAGGCTACTTACAGTTAAGACTTCTAAACCTAGTCTTCTGCACTTAGGTTTTTCCACATAAAGCTAAAGCACATTCATGGACTGGTTCAATTTAATGAGGTTCTATATTGCACTTTAAAAACAATGAGGCAGACAGAGAAAACAGATGAAAATAATCTAAAGCACCATTTCCAGAGTAAAAGGCAGCCACTTAAAACATGTTCAAAGAACCTAACCTTGACAATGAAACTTGCAAAACAGATTCTGTCCACTACTACACTGAATTATGCCACCAGTGCTAATAAGATACTTCCCTGCTGTCGTGGTTTAACCCCAGCTAGCAACCAAGAACCAGCAGCCTCTCACTCACTCCCCCACCAACGGGATGGGGGAGCCAATTAGAAGGATAAAAGCTACAAAAACTCATGGGTTGAGATAAAGACAGTTTAATAGAGAAAGCAGAAGCTGCACACACAAGCAAAGCAAAACAAGGAATTAATTCACTGCTTCCCATAGACAGGAGGTGTTTAGCCATCTCCAGGAGAGCAGGGCCCATCACGCGTAACGGTTCCTTGGGAAGACAAACACCATCACTCCAGATGTCCCCCCTTCCTCCTTCTTCCTCCCACCTTATATACTGAGCATGATGTCCTATGGTATGGAATATCCCTTTGGTCAGTTTGGGTCACCTGTCCCAGCTGTGTCTCCTCCCAGTCTCCCATGCATCCCCAACTTCCTTGCCAGTGTGGCAGTATGGAAAGCAGCAAAGGCCTTGGCTCTGTGTGAGCTCTGCTCAGCAATAACAAAACCATCTCTGCATTATCAACTCTGTGTTCTGCACAAAACCCAAACATAGCCTCATACTAGCCTCTATGAAGAAAGTTAACTCTACTTCAGCTCAAACCAGCACACCTGCCCTGACTGCCAGATCAAGCTCCTGGACACCACGTGCAGAACAACGATGTATTCTGAGTGTTAGAAACCAATGCCAATCAATGTCTGGTAGTTATGATGCTTTTCTTAAATCACAACTGGAACTCATCAACCCATTCCCTTCTTCTCCCCAAAAGACCTATTAGACAACAATGTACTGCAGTTTGCAATACAAAATCTTTTCCCAAAACACCAGTACTATTTTATCTCAGTGCAAAGATATGTGTTTTAGATAAGAGCAGGCATGTCAGAAACTATGTGTCTTTTCTCAGTCAAGCTTTCAGAAGAGCTTCTGTCATCACAAACTTGTTTATGTTGTCCACTGAACATGCTAAAATTTCTTTCCTGCTTGTCTTCTATCACTGCTTCTTTTAACACACTACTCTCTGCCCACTGTAGTTGCTCTTGAAATAGTCATCAGCACAGACACTGGGCAATAATTAATTTGCAAACAAGACCTATAAAGCCATTTTCATTTCACTTAACGTATTCAACTAAAAGTGATTAGAAACTGTGCTCGAGAGCACTTCCATATATTTTGAACACATGAAGAACTAACAGTGTTCACAGTAAAGGGACATTTCTTCAGCAGACTTTGTACCATGTAATTAGTAAGTGTGATTAGTCAAAAAAACCTATGTATCAGACTAGACTTTTGCAGAAAAGGTTGGAACTTCTAAAAAGCAAACAAATTACAAGTGCCAAGAAATAAAACTTGGATCCTAAGATGAATGAGACTTACCCAGAATACTCGTGTAGTAAATGCAAAAGGAAATGTTCTCGTTTTCTACGTAAGGAGAGATCAGCTTCATTTCCATGACACTAATTTTTTACCTCTCACAAGAAACTGCAAGAAGTGCAGATCAATTATCTTTTTTAGTGTTTTGGTTTTGTTTTCCAATAGACAGCTCTTCCAAACTATAGGATAGGATCCAAGATTCGGGTCATGTATATTTAAGCACCTCTGGAGAAAAATATTTTATTTCAGCTCTAAGTTCTATGCTTATGATTCACTAATGTAAACATGGTCCATATTTAGAACTTGAAAGAAGGTATGATTCAAACTCCTGCACTACCTAAATATAAATATTGATGTTCAGCTAAATTCTTAGACATGATCTAGCTGGAAATGAATACCTTCATCAGACCTCTGAAATGTCTAATAACTAGTGCTGCATTTTTCATATTAAAACTATCACTGATCATTTCACGGTTTATAAATTGAAATTTTACACTATCGACTTACACAAAGAAAAACCTGACATTGGAAACATTCTTTTTCTTAAAATGTTCTGAAACTTTAAATGGCTGTTTAAATTGAAAATGTTATTAATGAAAACAGTTCTATATTTTTAAAAATGTGTATCACGTAACTACACTGACTACATTTTTTCTCCTCTAAAACAATGACAAATTTTATATTATTTTTTGCTTCTGTTTCTATTTTGAGATCCATAAGAGTAAAAATACACCAAGTAGCCCCTGACTCATGAACACAGCTCCTGGTTTTTAATTCTCATTCTTAAGATAAAAATTTTAAAAAATCTCCATTTAAACTTTAATTTTCAGAAATACTTTGCATTTAGTAGTCTAGAAAAACATTTTAGAAAATAGTAAGTTAAAGAAGCAAGACAGAATGGGCAAAGAAACAAAAACAGCCTCTGTTTTAATAGTACCTGGAAAAAACAAGATAAGGAATTTGAATAGCGAATAGTCATCGACATAAAATTTGGAGGGACTCAAACCAACCCTTGTGAGAGCCAACAGCTGCAGCAGACTGTGACACTGCCAGCACAGCAGCTGCCCTGCCTAGGGAGCACATTACTGCCCTGGCACCAGAGTCAGCAAAATGGAACAAAATGGCCCATGACTTTGCTGTCCCAGTCCTCAGCTTGGATCATTAGCACCAGCCACCTCCTCTGGCAGTTCAGCCTGAACTCCATCAGTGACACATTTTCCCACCTCTTTGCTTTGCCATGGTGCCAGTAAACTGCCACTGAGGTCAGCGTAGAGAAGTTTCACTAGAGGAGAAAAGTAACCTCATCAGCAACCACATCAATGTGCCCCTGAACTCACCCAGCAGAGCTCATCCTCCAGTGAGCTCTAGCCACAGTATGTTTTCCTTTCTGATAAAGTTATAGAAGAAATACAAAAAGACAAGATTAAAATGTTGGTAGAGAAAATTAATCAAGACTGGAAAGCTTAATTTATGAGTAACTTGCATAAAATTAAAATAATGTGAGTGAAGTCATCCAGCAACAAATATCAAAGAAGAAAAACTGAAAGAGGACTGAACCCACTAAAGGAAAGACCATCAAGAGCATCAGAATGGAAGGAGAAGCACAGGAGCCCTAAGAGCCAAACATGTGCAAGAATTTAGAAGGCAGAAATAAGGCAGCAGAAAGCTGAAGCATTATGGTGATGGCATACAGACTCTGGGCACAGAAAATCAATTTGACTTGAGAACAGTCTGGAAAAGAAAGGGATAAAAATATAAGGTTTCAGAATCAAAATGTAAATTTAAAACAAC